AACGCCATATTTACAACAGGCAAACTGATGTAGATGATGAATTATATGAGCAAAGAAAGTACGTTATGTCCATGCTTCTAAATGGGGAAACGACAATGAGAAAGTCACATCACAAATATGAAAGTGATTTTGTAGGGGTTGCGGTAGGGGTGAGGGCTTAACTGGGATGATGATGACTAGGGAGGGAGTATCCATTCATTCAGTCAGTCACACAGAACTTTTTTTAATGCGTCTTTCCCTTTTGTATCTTGTTTCCCCACAACACGCAGAATTCATTACTTGTTCCCCAACAATGAATGGCACTTAACCATTCATTGTCTGAACGATAATTTGTAAATTAATAACGAATCATTAATCATTATTTTAATTATGTTTATATTATTAGTATTTATTTTTATAAAAATTATTAGTTTATTGAAATAGGATTATTTATGATCTGCATAAATTAATATTTAATTGTTTATAATTAATATTATTTATAATTAGCCTAAATAATTTATTCCTAATAAAGGTTTCATATTCCATATTGTTACAGTTAATTTGCAAATTAGCTGTAACAATTAAAGAACTGCCGGGAGGTACTTTCACTTATTCTTTCCACTCTCAGCCTCAGGTCGCTGGCTGCCACTGGTGTTTCTCAAACTTTCTCTCTCAATTTCAAAAAGTGCTGCCTGGTGAACTGAGCCTTCTGTGGGTTTGTGACATTCTGGAAGGTACTTTTTGGTCTTGAGCCTGAAGGAAAGCCTGAGGAAGCTCTGTGAAAGCCGAGGATGCTTGGAAAATGGTCCTTCCTCCCAGGCTTCTAGGCAACAACAATGATGACACGTTGTCCAAGAACCTGGCACCCTCAAGTTCAGACAACTCGGGGGCCAATTTCAGAGCACAGCAAAAGTTTATATCCTGCACAAGGCAACTGAAAACTTAAAGCAGTCCCAGATGAATCTTGACTTAGAAATGAACAGATGAGTAGCAGGTTATTAAGGGAAATCAGGGAAGTTCCAGAGCTCGTCTCTGGCCTTTCAGGACGGTGTGGTAGAATGCAAACATTGGACTCTCCCTTGCACTTTCCCTCAGGTCTGTGGTTAGATTCTGGGCTAGTAGACTTTGTTCTGATCTGTGATGATATTTCTGGTCTTCTTAAGAATATCATACCAGAAAAGGTTATGCTAGAACACCCAAGAGCGCAGGTGATCTGTTTCAAGGGTCCATTTGTCCTGAACACAGCCTTGGACTTAGGGTTCAAGCCCTTTAAGCATACCTCACCAAGCGCACCACCACTGCTAAATACAAACTTTTGGTGTGGGTCACGCTAATGGGATGGTGTCCATGGTGATGGTGTTGACCACACCTATCTTCTTTGTCCCAGAGAGATAAGGTGGGTCACTTTCATCAAGATGGTCCATTTCCAGATGGGTCCTCCAGAAAAGTTCCCATGACTCCAAGCATACAGGAGTTTCCAGAGACTGGGGCCTTGGTTGGCCACACCCTCAAACCTCAAATTATGCAGCATTATGGTGGCATAGGGGAACTTCCCCTAGCACACCTTCCTGTGGATTCGGCAAACCCTCCCCAGGAGAAGGGATGGCTTAAGTTCAGAGAACAAGGATCCCCATTCCCTCCTTCCCTTTTCCATCCCTCTTTCCTTCCCCTCCTTCTCTCCTTTCTCCTCTCCATTCTTGCTTCTTTCTTTTTGCTCCCTGGTTCACTTTTCCAAGCCCCCTTCCTGCAGCACAATGACCCTGCCAGGACCTCCTTGGCCTCCAGGGAGGGAAGGGGTGTCACTGATAGCTGGGGCCTCCCTTTTTTTTTCTAGTTCTTGCTGGGGCAAAGCCCACAGCCCTGTGTCAGTAAATACCCCTGCCGGGGGCAGAGACCCTAGCATTGATGGGAAAGAACAGAGGGGCTTTTGGGATTCTCACTTTCCTGTCCGTGAGAGTCATCATTCTTAACCAAGATTTGGGGCCAAAATTGGGTCCTGATTACCGAATGGAAACCCCAAGGTTCAAGGCTGGCTGGTGCAATACAGGGTGGAATTGCGGACAGGAAGTGGTGTGGCTATGTGGGTGTGAAGGAAGGACTTCCTCCCTCTCTGATACTTTCTTTGCCGAGGGGGCCTTTCTCAGGCTGTCTTCCTTCCCCAAGCCCAGCAGGCAGCCGTTCTGAGACTTGAGATGCAGATGCCCAGCACAAGGCCTGGTGCCCAGCGGCAGTGCGAATAGAACCACGCAAACCCAGTCCTCAGCAGCTTGTCTACTCCCCTAGTCCCTCCTGGAAGAATACACCACTTTCTCGGGCTTATACTCTCCAGAATTTTTACTTTTTCAGGCATAAGTAAGCCCAGAGGACATTTGTTTTTGAGGACTCTGGTCCCATTACAAGTTATCTCGGAGGGGCCTTGACCCCCAGCATCATGGGCTGCTTCGTTTTCGTTCCCTGCTTCCAAATTTATTGCTTTCCCATTGAAAGTGGAGGCAGTCTTGATCTCCCCAAAATTCAAGCTCAACCTCAAGCTCAACACAGCAGCCAGGGAGAAAGATGCCTGAGTTCAGTGGCTAATTTGAATAAAGTTCTTGATCACAGATAAAGCAGTTAACATATTGCAACAAAGTGGCTGGATCTGGGAGATATTTAGGAGACAAAATCCATGGGACTTGGTAGATTAGCTTGGGAACACAGAGAAATCAATAGGTTTCTAGCCACGTGGGTGATGGACCTTTGATTAAACAGGTAAAAACAGATTGAGAAGCATGTTTGAGGGGAAGACAATGAGATCATGAGTGTATCCTGGGCCATGTTGAGTGGGAGGCGCGGTGAGACATCCTCTGAGAGACACCTAACAGGCAGCTGAATGGATCCACAGGTCCGCCCCTTGGAGAGAGAGCTGAGCTCTGGGTACAGATGGGAAAGTTATCAGCATAGGGATAGGTGACAGCTGAGAAGAAGCAGGTAGCACAAAGAAGAAAGGTAAAAGCCGTTGTAAAGGAAAAGAAGACTTGAGATGTGACCACGAGATTTAGTCACCAGAGCTTATTGGTGAACTCCAAGGAGGCAGTTCCGGTGAGGGGGTCGAGCAAAGTCTGGATCTTATGGCAGAGCCTGATGGATATTCACCAAACCCAGTTCTTCCTCTCACTGAGCGCTTGACTAAATTTCATTTCCTGACCTCCCTTGTAGCTGGATGGGGGTAGGTGACTAAGTTCTGGACACTGAATCGTGGGGAAGTGACGCCCTGTCACCTCTGGGACACAGTCCCTTGCCTCATCCCCCATGGACCCTCTCCTACCCAGCCTCCCAGCCAGAGTAGAGGGGCTGGGGAACTGCAAGGCCTCGAGGGTACACAGCAAATGGAAGCTAGTGGACTAACAAGGATGATGACCCGAAGCCAGGAATCACATGAGGTCAGGCTGGACAGGGCTAAAGGATACTCAGGGCAATGAGGCCAGCGGGCCTGGGCACCCTGAGGTTTTCAGTGGAGTAGGTGAGCAGGCAGAAGAACAGCAATGGCCATAAGGGTCGGAGCAGGTCAGCAGACAGTCAGGGCAGATGGGTTTTGGATGTCGGGTCAGCCAGAGGAGTCCACATCCCTGGAGAACTTGGAAGTTCTGCAGGATCAGGGTGAGACTCCTGCAGGGCCAGACATTCCTGGAGTTGAAAGTCAGCAGCCACGAAACTCCTGCATGTGCCAGGCACACACTTTGTATGTTCCTACTCACAGCTGCAGAGACCCCTGGGACCCCGGCTCCAACTCCACCATCACAGACAGGGTGCTCACCTGGACTGTGCAGACAGAAGGACTGCCCACATTTACACACTAGCTGAGCCACACCCAGTTTACCTCCTTGTTGCATCAGCCTGACTCAATTCACAGAGGATCAGAAGGGAGACCACCTGAGGTCTCAGCCTGGTTCTGCTGCTCTCCTGCGGGGGACCTGGAGCAAGTCTCTTCCCCTTGCTGCACCTGAGCCCCTCATCAACAAAGTGGAGGGGTCAGAATGGATGATTTTAACGCCTCTTATACTAAAAACTCGCATCCTTCTTTCTGCCCCTCAACTCCTAGCAGGCATGAGCCCTGCTCTCCAACAGCAGCCTTCCAACACGTCCTACAAGGGCAAGTTTGCAGCCTTCAGCCTGTGAGTGTTAGAGACCAGGCAGGCCTCCAGATGGAAGGGGAACCCTCCCTAGGAAAGGGGAGGGTTGTGAGGCGTAGCCAATAGTCAGCAAGTCCTTCACCCCTGGGAGGGGCGGCCATTTCTTTCTTGTTTCTTTTCTTCTTTAACCATCTACATTTACAACCAAGTGCTTTCCTTTCTGTTCCCATTTCTTGTTCCCTTTATGACAGAATGGCTCCACCCTTCAGAACCACCTCTCTTCCAGGGAAAAAGAGACTTGGAGGATGGGGAGTGTCTTTCCAGTTGGTTCTCCTTGCTGGGCCCAGCTTCATCCTGGCTTGGTTCTGTTTTTCCTGAAAGATGAGAATTGGGCAGACAAGGCTTTTCAAAAGAAATTGGTCCTCTTCTCATCTGCCCAAATATCTGTTTAAATAAAGAGACAAATTTCTCCACTCAATTGTGATTCAGACTAATCCCAAGTTCCTCCCCTATCCTATATCCCCCAGAAACTTATAGAACAAGAAGGTGACCTGGGAGTGGACGGTGCAGTTGAGAAAACCAACGTGGAATAGAAAATCTTCCATGCTAGTGCAGCATGGGCGTGAGAGCTGGCCAAGGTGGAAGGCTGTGCAAAGCATGACACAGGCGTGGGTCACACCCAGCATGCACCTCTGTGACCCAGCGGGGTCAAAGCCTTCCGAAGGCCTAGAAGTGGCAACACAGCCCCCTAAAGCCACCTCCCCTGTCTGCCGTGGATGTGGCTGTGGGAGAGCAGCCAGGCAGGGAGGTAAGCCCCATGAGCCACAGAACACCCTGAGCAGTCAGAAGATGACCTCTCCAGGAAGAGGAAGCGTATTGTGCCTCTAAATTCCAAGAACTGGAGAAAGGAGAGACAATAAGCATCTTTATTATCCAAATTCTAGAGGAATGGCTCTGCATAGCAGCAGAACCTACTAGCTGCCAGGGTGGACGAGAAGCCACTACTGAGGGTGGCCTCCATGCTGGATCTGTGCAAGGGCTCTGTGAGTCTGGTGCCTGTTGGACGTCATGCTGAGCCCAGTCTGCAGGGGACACAGCTGGCTGGTCCTGGGCACCCAGGAAGAGGCCTGGCCACAGGTGCCCCCTGTATAGAATTGTGAAGGGAAACCCTTCCTTTCATATATGAAAACAACCAAGCCTCCTCGTTGGGCAGAGGAGCGTCCTGGGCTTCATCGGGGCAGGCAGCCAGCCACGGGGTCCGGCCGGGGAGGCACTGGCACAAAGTTCATGGGGCAGAGCAGCAGTGGGCACATCTTTTCGTGCTCCTTCAGTGCCTCTGTCAGGTGCTTCAGCTCCTCCGTCAGCTTCCCGATCTCTCTCCGCAGCATGGTGTTTTCTTGCTCCAGGCACTCATATTCCTGGGGGAGACAAAGAATGGGCAAAATCCTTTCTGACATGGTGTTCCCTTCCTCTGTCCTCCCGCACCACAATGCTTGCCTCCTGCTCATGAAAGCTGGCTCATTACACATGTCCCCTCCACCGCTCAGATCTGTCTATCTGATGAGTATCTCTCCCCTCCCACTGGGATGAAATGATTTACTGAGGTATCACTTACATAAAACAAAATGTATCTATTTTAAGTACAATCCAATGAGTTTTGACAAATATATACACCTGTGTTGATAAATAGACAGAACACTTCCATCATTCCAAAAAATTCCCTCATGCCCCTGTGCAGTTAGTCCCCCCCAACTGCTGATGTGCTTTCTGAAGGTCTCTGTTGGGTTCATGGCCATATTCCCAGCACCTAGAACAGTACCTGGAACATAACAAATGTTTGTTGATTGCACAAACAAATGAATGAAACCATCCCTTGCCTTGGCTTCGCTCTAGCTCTCACCTCCATCAGGGTTTATAGAGGTGTAGAACTGCAGGGGGTCAGAGAGATCCCTTGGCCCAACCCACACAGTGTAGAAACTATCCGTATCCAACTTGTTCTGGGCACTTCTCCCCTCAATGGACACACTCTGTCATTTCTGAGCTGCTGTACTGGAAAAATCCTGTTTTCTGGGTGTAATGGCTCATGCCTGTAATCTCAGCACTTTGGGAGGTCAAGGTGGGAGGATCACTTAAGGCCAGGAGTTTGAGAGGAGCCTGGGCAACACAGTGAGACCCCGTCTCTAATTTTTTTTTTTAATTAGCCAGGCATGGTGATGCATATCTGTAGTCCCAGGTACTTGGAGGCTCCTCCAGGAGGATTGCTTGAGCTCAGGATTTCTAGGCTGCAATAAGCCATGATCATAGCACTACATTCCAGCCTCGGTAACAAAGATTCCAACTCAAAAAGAAAGAAAGAAAGAAAAGAAAAGAAAAAAAAAAAGGAAAGAAAGAGAGAAGAAGAAAGAAGAAGGAAGGAAGGGAGGGAGGAAAGATGGACAAGACAAGAGAAAGGAAAAGAAAAGAAAAAGAAAAAGAAAGCTCCTCTTTGCACTGATCCAAACTCTCACATTCAAACGTACCTATTGGGCTTTGTTCCATGTAATAGAACACATCGGTAAATCTAATGCTTTTTTTCAACATTACAGTTCGTGAAATGTTAGGACACAGCCCCGTACCACTTCCCTTTAGGTATTCGCTGAGCTCGATTGTCTCAGGTCCTGAGATCCTTGCATTAGGACTTGCATGCAGCTCCTTTGTCCTTCTGGGAGCCCTCCCCATCATACACTCCAATTTGCCAGAGTATCTCAGAAAATGTTGCTCTCAGGATGCAATGCATGATTCTGGGGATGATGACAAGGGCAAATGTGTGGCAGTGGCCTCTCCTGTGCTGGGTCTGAGCCACTGAGGATTCTCCCTGAGGCTGCAGAGAGGTGCACGCTTTATCTGCATGTGCTCCTTCCCTGTCTATCCTTGGATGATGATGGATGCTATGGAGCTTAAGGGTATTTTACATCCGTTTCCACTCAGTTTCATTCCTTATTTGGGCATCTTCCAGCCCAGCAAAATCAGAAAATCTTTTTGAATCTCAGTTGCATCATTGCATGAATGGTGATAGTATACAACTTTAAGCCAGACACTAACTTAACACACAGTCTTCCTTTTCTTCATTCAAGTCATTAATAAGTTCTCCAATAAACAGCCAGTGGCAGAGCCCTGCATCATGCCAATAGAACCGTTTTTAGTCTGGCAATCTTATTTAAATCTTGCTGAAATGTTTTCGTTCATTTCTAGTTCATAGTAAGGCTTTGTTGTACCATGCATTTCCCAAGCTCAGGGCCCAGTTGTGTTACTCATCACACTTCTCTCTTACTAGTAATTTTAAGGAAATATCACTAAAGAATTCTGATCTTATAGCCCCCAAAGACACATGCAAATTCTCTTTCCTCATGCAGATTTCTTCAACTGGACTGCCTTCCTCCTTTTCTGCATGGGTCTAGCTCAAGCCCACCACCTCCAGAAAGGCTTCCCTGACCACAGCACCTACAGGAACCACATCTTTTATTATGTGTACTATTCGATTTTGTATCATAGTCAATCTCACTCATATTAAGTAATGTCTCTCCCCAGACATCAGAAATGTAAAGGACCTAGGAACTTCTGCTACTCCTCTCCTCTACCCCATCTGATGAGCCATAGCACCAGCATCTACGTGCCCAGTGATTCCTCAGTCCTCATCCTCTGTCTCTTCTTTAACCCCATCCTTTCCTTTCAGAAGGGACTCTCACATCTTCCTTCCTTTCAGAATCAAGGGGTCTGGAGGGGCTTCCTGTAGGTTCTATCTGAGCCATTCCCCAGGCAGGTTCCTGGGGTGGTCTGGGGCACTCTCCAGGGCAGCAGGCTGTCCTGGGGCCATGTGGCTTCACCAGTCCACTGGCCCCTTTCTGCCTCCATCCTCCTCTCTGCCTCCCACTCCCAAGCCCTCATGCCCTCCTCTGGCCTTTGACAAGCTCTAATCGGAATTGTGTCTACAAACCCAGCAACAAGCCCTCCATGGGCAAGGGGAAAGTCTGGATGGGAGGATGGGATGGAAGCCAAGGCGTCAAGGGAATCGGGCAGGCAGCAGAGGGATGACAAATGCTGCAGCACACACACCATGCACATGTACGCAAACACACACACACTCATACACAGCCACACACACAGTCACACATACTCACACAGTCACACACACACACTCTCATACACAGCCACAGACATACAAACTCACAGTCATACATACTCTCAGCCACCCAAACACACACACACTCATACACAGCCACACAGTCACACATACTCACACAGTCACACACACACTCTCATACACAGCCACAGACATACAAACTCACAGTCACACATACTCTCAGTCACACAAACACACACACACTCACACACAGCCACAGACACACAGTCACACACACTCACACATTCTCATACACAGCCACAGACACACACAACATACTCACAGTCACACACACTCTCATACACAGCCACAGTCACACATACTCACAGTCACACACACTCACACTCTCATACACAGCCGCAGACACACACACACTCGCATACACAGCCACAGACACAGTCACATACACTCCCAGTCACACACACACTCACATACTCATGCACAGCCACAGACACACATACAGTCCCACACACTCTCACAGTCACACACACACATTCTCATATACAGCCACATATACACATGTATACACTCAGTTACACACAGTCACAACATTCACAGTCACACACACAGTCACACACACACAGTCACAATCACAGTCACTCATGCACAGCCACACACACTCATACAGCCACAGACACACTCACAATCACAGTCATACACACACATACACAGCCACAGACACACACATGTACACAGTCACACACTCAGACACAGCCACACAGACACACACTGTCACATACACATACACAGCCAAATTTACACACTCACAGTCACAGACACATACACATACATAGCCAGTCATATATACTGTTACACACATAAACACTCACACAATCTCATACACAGCCACACATACTCTCTCACACACACAAGCACACATACATACATTCATACACAGCCACAGACACACACCCCCATACACAGCCAGAGACACACTCTCATACACAGCCACACTCACACACACACACTGCCACACAGTCACATAGACTCATACACAGCCAGAGACACACATACACACACACTCTCAAACACAGTCACACACACACTCATAGACACAGTCACACACACCTCTCACACTCTGACACACACACATACTCCACTCACACATATACACACACACACTCCATCCTGCAGCTGGAAATGCCCTTCACTTTCAAGTAAGATGGGGAGTACATTTGAATAGTTCCAACATGCTAACATTTTAGGTAGATTCCAAAGGATGGGAAGCTCTCTTCCTTGGTAGAATATTCCAAGCTGCCTTTCTACATAGACTGAATTCCGCGGCAAGACACTCCGAGCTTCCCAGCTTTGTCTCTGGAAGTTGTGTGCAGCCCTGTGGCCTGAGGTTTCCCTGAGGTCCCACTGCCATCCCCAACCCCTGCTCAGAGTCTTCAGAGCTGCCCATCACAGGTGCCCTGTGGGCCCCTCATCTGCCACGGGGACTTTCTCTTCTAGGATTTAAACTTTACTCATGAACCTGATGAGGGGCTTTTATTGAGCTGAGGGAATAAGAAGAAGAGAAGTCAAAATTTTTAGGTGAGACCAGTCCTACAAAAATAAAGAGAGGAGCTGGGAGGGAAGAACAAAGAGGCCAGAGAGCACTGAATGGGAGCAAAGAGGGAAGGAATGAAACCCACCTCACACCCGGAAGAAATTACTGGATTTAACGCCAACAAAAAGTAAGCAAAGAACATTAAAACCTTTATTATTTCCAGAAATGTGACCCATCTAGATCAAATTCTGCCAAATTCCGCCAAATTCCAACTGCTTTGCTACAGAGGGTTTGAAGTTACTATATACCCTCTCTGGATATTTGCCGGGACAGTTTCAAAGCAGACACCTAAAAATTAGAAGTGGTGGAATCACGGTGGATCCCAGTTCTGCCTCAGAAATTAAGATACCTAAGACGGTGGTTCTCAAGTAGGGCAACTGTGCCTGTCTGCAGGGAACACCAGCAGTGTCAGGAGACGGTCTGGGTTATCACAGCTGGTGGGGGATGCTACTGCCTCACACGGATAGAGGCCAGGGATTCTGCTCAACGTCCCGCAGTGCACAGGACAGCCCCCCAGTGACAAGGAGTTCTGCTGCCCACAGGTCAACAGTACTGAGGCTGAGGAGCCCTGTTCTGGGCATCTAAGAGCAGGTGACTCGGGTCAAGGGGCTGCCTAGGGGTATGCAGGGTTCAGGGTGCCTCTGAGACTGAAGACAGCATCAAGGACTGGTAAAGAAGTGGGTACCAGGGACCAGAGAGGACAACTAAGGTGAGAAGGAAAGAAGTAGGAACAGGCCACCAGGAAGGCACAGCCACACACAGACCCCATTTCACAAGTTAGAAAACGGAAACTCTGAGAGGTATAGTGACTTTTCCAAGGTCACACAGACTTGGGATCTGACTCCTAACTTCAAGGTCAACTGCAACTCTCTGGTAGCATCAACAGTTCTGCTTTTGGTTGGTGGTGCCTGGGTCCAGATTTCCCCACGGGGGTTACCAGAAGTAAAAAGCCATAAGATCTCAGGGCTTTAGAATAAGTCTATTCTCAAGCCTTCACTGATCCACTTCCCAGCAAAAATCGTGTTACCAGCAAGGGCTGTACAAACGAGTGTCATCATCAGTTTCTAAACCACATGGGTGCTGGCATGAAGCTTTCTCTTAGAACATGCAGTATCTGAAAAAACCATGGCAACATACACCACAATCACACTGCCCAAGCCATTCATCAGTTTGTGACATTTGGGGCTCCTGAGGATGGCACTGCTGCTTTCCTTTTCTGACTCAAAGTTCTTTCTCAGTCTTACACCTTTGGGGTGCCTGGCTGAACCAGGCTGACCCACTTCTGAGCCACTTTTTGGCTTGGCTGAGATGAGACCCTGACTGTTCACTTTGGTTCTCGTTTGTCAGCGTGGACTTCGGCATGCGCCTGGTGTTCAGAGATGAATGCAGGTCAAAATCCCCATGGGAGGTGTGAGTGGGTTGGGGGGATGATCTGAAAGCCTACGGTGAACTCTGAGGTATACAGACCTATGTTAGGAACCGCTTCTCATCACCATAGTCCAACTGCCAGCAACCACTGCCCAGAAAACTCTACCTGAAGGGGAACCCCAGCCCCTGCCTCTCCCGCTTGGCCTGTGCAGCCTCCTCTCCCATTCTCCCCTTCACAGAGGTCCAGCCTTGACAGACACTTCCAGGACTTTGGAGATGGAGAACAAGGAGGGGAGGGAGCTGGCCAAAAAACTCCAGCCGGAGCAAGTTTCTCAGGCATTGGAGGTAATAGAGGCTCAAGTGCTCGCTGAGGAGCACATACACTAAAGTTGGAATGATACAGAGATTAGCACGGCCCCTGCGCAAGGATCACATGTAAATTCATAAACTGTTCCATTTTTTTCAAACCAGAAAGATGAAAGAGTAAACAAACAAACAAACAAACAAACAAACAAAAACCAGAGGTTCAAGTACAGGTGGAGTATGTGAGTAAGGTGAGGAGAGAAAAGTGGAAATTTTGTTTTAATTATTTGAGACAGAGTCTCGCTCTTGTTGCCCAGGCTGAAGTGCAGTGGCACGATCTTGCAACCTCCGCCTCCTGGGTTCAAGCGATTCTCCTGCCTCAGCCTCCCAAGTAGCTGGGATAACAGGTGCCAGCCACCACGCTCAGCTAATTTTCACATTTTTAGCAGAGATGGGCCATGTTGGTCAGGTTGGTCTTGAACTCCTGGCTCAAGTGATTCACCCACCTCAGCCTGGGATTACAGACATAGGCCACTGTGCCTGGCCAAAAAGTGGAAACTTTAAACAAGTCTTGCTCCAAATATCCTCCAAATATCAGGATAGGCAAGAAGTGCAAGTAAAGAGCTTGAGTTACTCTGAGGTATTCAGGAACGCAACCCTGCAGTGTGGGATAGAGGAACAGATGAAGAAAGCCCTTCTGATGGGCTACAGTCTCCAGGGAGCAGCAGGCAGTGGCTGTTTTCTGGACCCCTTAGTGTCTCCCAATGACCTGGCCTCACTCCAGATGTGAGGAGTTTCCTATGCGTGGTGTCCTCATCCTAGATTGGCCTAGGAGGTCCAGGGGTCCCAAGGGGCCTTCTGTCATGACCCACAGCTGTGTGCAAGGCACGCAATGCTTAACTCACTGGAGCTTGGCAAAAGTGTTTTTATGCCTTTTGTTTGTTTGCTTGTTTTTTGAGAAGGAGTTTCATTCTTGTTACCCAGGCTGGAGTGCAATGGTGCAATCTCGGCTCACCACAACCTCTGCCTCCTGGGTTCAGGCAATTCTCCTGCCTCCTCAGCCTCCTGAGTAGCTGGGATTACAGGCACGCACCACCGTGCCCAGCTAATTTTTTGTATTTTTAGTAGAGACGGGGTTTCACCATGTTGACCAGGATGGTCTCGATCTCTCGACCTCATGATCCACCCGCCTTGGCCTCCCAAAGTGCTGGGATTACAGGCATGAGCCACCACGCCCAGCCCCCTTTATGCCATTTTTAAACCAGATCCCTAGCCTCCAACAGTAGATGTAGTCATGCAATGTCCTGCCACTAACTGTTGGCCATGACGAACATAGATCCCCACAGCTCATGCCCTCCTGGAAGGAGGCTGGGAAGGAACAGGGAAGGGATTACTCACATTGTGCCATGGCGAACATAGATCCCCACAGCTCATGCCCTCCTGGAAGGAGGCTGGGAAGGAACAGGGAAGGGATTACTCACATTGTGCCATGGCGAACATAGATCCCCACAGCTCATGCCCTCCTGGAAGGAGGCTGGGAAGGAACAGGGATGGGATTTACTCACATTGTGCCCTTTGTTTCAGAGATCATATTCCTCTGGTGCTGCAGAAGGTTTGGGATATATTTCCATTTTCCTAAGTCAGTCACCTGCTTCCTCACACCCACTTGTGACCAGTGACACGTGTGTGTAGCTAGTAAGGCTAAGGTGAAGCTATAGCTTTGGGGTCCTGGCCTCTTTGACCCTGAGTTTCTCAATAAAACTGGCCTTGCTGCGGTGATCTGCCAGTTGTGGGTAATCCTGAGCCATTCCTTCAGCCCCACAGAGAAAGAGGAGAAGTGGCTCTTCCATGGAGGGTCTGGACTTCAGATCAGCCTGCCCCATTTCTGAAAAGGGCAGCTGGCATGACTGTCACACAACACGGTCACTGGGCTGGAAAGCAGACTGGGGACCCTAAAGAAGGGGTCTCTACCCGACGGTTCTGAAAGAATTGGGTGGGGGTAAATGTGGCACCACTCTGAAGTCCCCAGGCACCTGTTTCACTCAGTTATCAAACGCAGCAGTGACAGAAAGCGTGAGAGAGCCAACGCTTCATACATGTATCTTTTTTGATACTGTAGTAAAGTTCTGTGAGTATTTATGTTAATTTCTGTGGTAGGCAGCAGAATCTAATTGCCCCTCACAGAAATCTACATTCTAATCTCTTGAACCTGTGACTATGTCACCTTACACAGCAAAAGGGACTATGCAGATGTGACTAATAAGTGTGAGATGGGGAGACTATCCTGGGTTATCCAGGCAGTCCCAGTGCCATCATAGGGTCCTTGTAAGTGAAAGAGGGTGTCAGGGAGTCATAGAAGATGCGACAATGAAAACAGCGCCAGAGTAACACAGCCTGAGAAGGATGCAACCAGCTATTGCTGGCTTTGAAGATGAAAGGGGACCACAAGCCCAGGAACACTGAAGTCTCTGGAAGCTGGAAAGAGCAAGAAAATGAATCTTCTCCAGAGCCTCCAGAAGGAAGGCAGCCCTGCTGCCATCTTCATTTTGACCCAGTGTGCCCCACTTCTGATGTGTGACTGCCAAAACTCTAAGATCGTACATTTGTGTTGTTTTAAGCCACCAATTGTGTGAGAGTTTGTTTCAGTAGCAGTAGGAAATTAATATCCTTTCCTTGGGAAATTCTAGGCTTCCCACTGACAGGCAAGGCAGGATATCTTCCATCTCTCTTTGTGACTCAGTGGCAATGCATTTGTGAAATGGATCTACTTACTCAATCTTGTTCCATGAAAGATCTTGTCCAAGATCTTGTCCTCTGGATACATATTCAGTCCAGATTTACAACTGATTTTTTTAAAACTAGTTTTTAAAAATATTAAAGCTAGGAGATTCTTGAGGGGTAACACCTTGGCCATCCAGCAGCACATGTCTGAATACAGGGCCGTGCACTAGCTGGGAGCCACAGGTCCCCTCTGGGGGATCTTTGGTAACAGGATGCTAGAATCACAATTGCTTCAGGAGCAAGAGAGAAGGAAGAAAGGAGGCAAAGGGCATTGCCATTATTCTGTGGAAATTCTTCAGAACAAAGGTTGCAAAAGACCTTCCATGATGCTAGTCTAGAGATCCCCGTCTAAGACCCAGCCTTCTTACTTCCAGGAAAGAATCTGATGTTTATGATTTATGCCACACTGTGAATGTGTATCAGAAGTCACCTCTCTGTGTAGTATGTGCATTCTAAATTTGTTCTCTGTTCATTGGTAGAGTTTTAAGAGCTTGCCCTTTTCTTCTGCTCTCCCCAACACACCTCAGAGTCTCTGTATTGCCGATGCCCCAGAATGGCCTTACTGAGACAAGTATGGCAGGAGACCTGGCACAACGCCTCAAGCCTGTAATCCTAACACTCTGTGGGGCCAAGGCAAATGGATCACTTGTGTCCAGGGGTTTGAGACTACCCTGGGCAACATAGCAAAACCCCATCTCTACAAACTACAAAAATATGGGCAGAGGTGGGAAGATTGCTTGAGTCTGGGAGGTGGAGACTGCAGTGAGCCATCATCATGCCACCACACTCCAGCATGGGCAACAGAGCAAGATCCTGTCTCAAAAACAAACAAACAAACAAAAACAAAAACAAAAAACAAGGAAGTATGGCAGGAGAGAGCTAAACTAAAATCTTTAATTAGGCACACCAACCTTGGACAAAGAGGAGGACATGGAACGGCCACCCCTTCCTCAGACAGATCCCTGCATGCTTTTGAGACAAGTTCCTGGTACGGAGGCTCACCATGTCCCAACTGTGGGATTACGCAGGTGTGTGCACGAGGGCAGAGGGAAAAGGAATAGCTCGGGATAAATCCGAGGCTTCTGATTTGAATGAGAAGAAAGATGGTTTGCTCCACTAACTACATTAAGTATTTAGTTTAGCTGTCTCCTGCCATACTTTCCTGTTTTTTGAAGACAATGAAAAGAGAAAGTCTCAGGGTAAATGGACAATAACACTCTTATGGATGTGGTACAGCGGAGGAGCCTGCAGTGGACCCGCGGGGAAACAGCTCAGCAGATGCTGAAGTTATGGGGTCTAGGGTCCAGGACAGAGGGCCTGCCTGGAGTAATCAATGTTGGGAGCTGATGCTGGGAGAACCAATTAATAGATTAAGTCCTCCAGGATGAGAAAAAAAAAGGGCAGAGTTTGAAACATTGGTCATCACCAACATTTAAGAACTAGAGGGTAGAAAGCTAACAAAGAAATGGAGAAAAATATTGAAGAGGGTCAGGAAAACTAGAACATGTGGTCTTTTGGAAGCAAAAGAGGGAGGCTTTAAGAAGAGATGGGTCAAAACTGTCAAATGTTCTAACAAGGTCAAGGATGAGACCAGAAAGAGCATCCTGGATAGGCAGTGCCAGGACACTAGTGGCTGCAGCAGGAGCAGCTTTTGTAGGGTGTGTGTGTGTGTGTGTGTGTACACATGCACATTGGGTACATGTGTGGATGTGTGTGGGTGTGCACATATATGTGTGTTGGGTGGACAGGGGGTAGCAGAAATGAAGTCACAGAGGACTGGGGAATAACTAGGAACCAGGGACAGAGACAACAAGTGTAACTATCTCTTGAAGAAGCAAGGATGTCAGGAAAGGGAAGAAATGGAGCAAGAACTTGAAAGGGAATCAGGGTCCAGAAGCAGCTTTGTTTTGCTTTATAATGAAAGAAACTTGAGTATGAGAAGCACCCAGTGGATGAGGGAGAAATGAACATGTCCGTGAGCAAAGAGAGAGAACACTGGGCTGGAAGGACCCGGCAGAAATTAGATTTGAGTGCTGCTGACATCGTGATAAGGAGAACAGTAACATCGCACCCACTCCCGTGCAAGGGCGGAGGCTGTGTGGCTCTAAGGTGGCTGCCCCACCACGGTCTCACCTCGTGGAGCTTATCTGCCTTCTGGGTCTGCTTCTTCCGACTTCTCTGAGCAGCAACGCGGTTTTTTTCTCTCCTTCGGACCTTCCTGTCATCATCCTCAGGGCTCTGGGGGAAAACAGTGGGTGGAGTGTGATGCCGGGGCCCCTCGCCTTACCCTGCTCTGCCCCATCCTGTCGCTAGTGTTGCTCACTGAACGTCACTCTTTGCTTTGCAGTTGACAGCAGCACAGTGGGCTCACAGCAGCCCCTGGCCCAGGAGCACTCACCATGTGAGTGTGTGGGCTGTGCGGTGTGGCTGCCGTTTCAAAGATGAGGAATAAGAAACTCACAGAGGTTAAGGACCTTGCTCCAGGTATTATAGCCACTACGTCCGTGAGTGGGAAGTGGAACTCAGGTCTGTTGGTCTCCAAACCAACGTTCATCAACCTCTAGCCCACAGGGCGTGTGCCTGGAAGAGGTGTGGTGTCAATGGTGTCCATCTGAGACTGGAAAGCTGGGCGGGGGCAGGGGGCGGGGGAGAGATCTGCTATCTGGAACTCGCTGTTTGCCAGACCTTACACCACCACGCATAAAAGGGACTTTTGATACTGCATGCAAATCACGATCACACTTACAACTAATTGCAACCATACAACTGTAGCAACACACCAAATGATCTTAAACCCCACTGACAATGTACTCATTTGAACAATGCTTCACTGACATTTTGTTTCAGAAGTCGGACTGAATCAGAAAGCAAATTTTTGATGTGTCTTGAAAGCTGTTCGCTATATGTAAGATTTAGCCGAATTCAGTCAAATCCCTCAAGAGTGATTATGAAACAGACAGGTAGAAAAATGCACCATGGTAAAAACACTTCAATCAGTTATAGAAAACATGGAAAAGAAGAGCAGTATTTTCTTTCTGGAACCCCATGAGAAGACACCACCAAATTGGAAAAACACTACATGTATAGAGTTTAAAAGCCAAGAGGTACAAACATGGGAAAGATACTCAGTTATTAATACTCATGGAATGCGAATATTAATAACTAAATAATGGATATTTTCAGTTATCATTTGATCTCACCTTGTATTCCAAATAAGACACACATCTTCCCAAGTTACTGGAGGTAAGAATTTTCAGCATATGCAAGAACATAAGGGTATAAAAAGGAGAAGAATAAATAATATACATAGCAAATAGAAGCTTAAGGAAACAGAGACAAGGTATAAAAATAGTCTTCAATTGATAAAACCAGAACATTACAGGGGAACATGTGGTCAGAAGACAGCACTTTAGCTTTAGAATTACACGGATCCTAGTTTTGTCTCTTAGTGTCAACATGGTCGTGTGTAAATGGTTTAAATTCTGAGTTTTCAGTTTTCTCATTTATTGCAAGGATGATTCATTCATTCTCTCAATATGTATTAACTGAGCGCTTACCATGTGCCAGACACTGTCCTAGAGACTTGAGATACAAGCACTAAACAAAGGGCCAGTGAACTCTGCAGACTTGGTGCCAACAGCCTAATGCTTAGGATTAGGATATGATGAAATGAGATTTTGTCATTTAAAAAATCAGAACCAACCCAGCAGAAACATTTAATCGAGACAGAAAGTGAGAGATAGTAAGCAAAAGTTAAAGATAGTATTGTCATTAACCATATTTCATTCAGTCTCAAAAATTCTGAGAGGTTGATGTTAGTATATTCATTTTATAGATGGGGAAACGGAGGCTCCGGCAGGTAAAACAAATTGCTCAAGGCTGCTCAGCCTGCGTGTGGCAAAGCGGAGGCCCAAACTCAGATCTCTGTGACACTCCAGTGTCACCCGATGACATGTGCTGGGTGCTGAATTGGGAAGGTGGGGAGTAAGGACGAAAAGACAGGTGGCAAAGATCCAGGCAAAGTTTCCCGATAGCAGTCCCTGCGGCCAACCCGGTCTGTTTCCTGAGTGTGCAGCTGTACATGCTGCCTAGGGACGGCTGACTGGGAAGGGGGCGAAGGGTTTCCGCAAGCTGGGGGCAGAGTCTGCACATTGTGGGTCCCCCCTCCCAGGTTGACCAGTCCCAGTTTCTGCATTCCCGTGGCTGCCCATTCCCAGGGTGGCCCGGAAGGGCTACAGGCGTGGAGGGTGGGATGGCAGTAGCCGGCTACACTAGGATGGGGCGGCCCCCGGGGCAGTGAGGAGCCCACGAGCCAGGGAGCACCGGCCAGGATGGGCCCAGCCAGGAGTCGGCGCCCTCGGGCTTCTCCCCCACAGAGGGCGCAGGAGCTGGCTTAGGAGCCATTCCAGGCGCCGGGGCCACTGTGCGCATGCCAGGGTCTCTGGATCCACCCCCCCCCCACTCCCTCACGCCCCTACTCCACTCGTCTCTGGCCGCGCCCCCCACCTCTGTGGTCACCACCACGGAACCCCGGCACCCACCACCTCGCCTCCCCCCAACCCCGCGTCGTGTCTGCTCCCCCACACCCCACGGCCCTCCCTGAGCCTCTCACCCTCTACCTGCGGCTGGGGCTGGTTCCCGGGCGCCGCGACGCTCCTCTGCGGGACACTGCCAGCGGCCGGGAGCCCTTGCGACATGCCGGGTGCTCCTCCTGCCCTACCCGCCCACCCACGCGCCCTACCCGCGGGGCTGCCTACGGGCGCTGTCACACCGTGGGCATCCTAGTGCTGCACCCGCAGCCCGCGCCAGCCCCGCCCCCTCGGGCTTCCCGCTCTCCCCGCGGCTCGGCTAGTCCTCCCGGTGTCCCCGAGCGCTAGTCCCCACCGCCGTCCTTCCCGTCCCACGTCTGCCCCGCCCTCTTTATCCCACCCCCGCCTCGTTTCCTCCTCTGCCCGCCCTCTCTCCGCACCTCGGGGTCCCAAATCCCACCCCTGCCGCGCTTTCCGCCTGGGCCGGCGCTTCGTGGAAGTCACGTGGTGGCTCCGAAACCCCGGAGGAAAGGCGAAGCCCACCCACGCGAGGCGACTTCAGGGCGGCTGGGGGTCAGGGTGGCGCCACGCAGCCTTTGGGGTCCTTCGGCCGCTCCCTGGGAACTCAGGCTGAGAAACACAGTGGGTGTTTTGGGGTCCGTGTTTTCTTCCCCGGTCCCATCGCTGCATCTTCCTGCGCGTCAGCCACGCCCTGTGCCCGCCCCCCAGCGCAGGGGTCACCGTCCCGGGGGACTTTCTCCGCGGCGACCAGACATCCGAGCGCCACTCTCGCTCCTCCCGCGGCCCCGGAGGCGCGGCCTTGGGGCGAGGATAGCGGCTTCACCGAGTCCCACCGGGCACCCCGAGCCGCGGCCGCCCCAGGGACTCGCGGGTAACGCCTGCCCTTCTTGTCCCCGGTCCCTTCTGGCTGTGGGAGGGAGCGAGACGGGGCGGCCCCGAGGGTGAATTCCCAGAGCGGAGGGTGGGCAGGGGAGTGTCCCGGACAGAAAGGGTGACGGGCTTCCCTGAGAGCGAATCTGCCACGTGGGACGTCACTAGTGACAGGTTCGGGGATCTGGACCCGCAATGCCACCGTTAAATAGCCCAGATCCTTTTTTTTTTTTTTTTTTTCAAGATTTATCCGCTCGTGCCAAAGGTGGGGACCGGGTTGAAGTAGGGCAAGTACTGGTCCACCTGCCTGCCCATCAAAATTGCGAAGCCAAGACACTTACACGTGGTCCTAGCAAAGGAAACGCTAGCGGCTACGGGCTGTGGTCTGCATGCTGTGAGCACCTGGAAAGAAAGATAACCGCGAGTCTGGATGGGCGAGTGGGAACCAGACCGGAAAGGCAGAAGTGCCTACCGAGTGTGGTCGCTTGGGTCTTCAGGTTCGTGGGCAGCAGTGGACATGGGGGACAGGCATTTCCGATTCCTTTTAAAATCTCAAATGAGTGCACCTGCCCGCCGCCGGGATTTAGGACCCATTCTTGCAAACGCTTTGAGAGAGGTTGAGTGAACTTGGCTGCCTTGCTGCCAGCAGGAAAGCGAGCAGAGATTCTTGTCTTTGTGATCAGAAGCTTCGGCCAACTGAGAGGAGGGGAGGAAGACAGAAGGTGGACACAGCCCATGAGTCGCAGCGCCACACTCCACATCAGCAAGGCTGCGCAGCAGAGCCAGCACTACGCTGGGTTATCCGCTCAGATTAATCTCATCTCCCTTTTATTTCAGCACTCAGCTTAACGCGTGGTTGCCTCGGGACTATTTTGCCTCCCACACAGCTACCCACGTAGGTGCCTAGCACAGCACTCTACATACACACAGCAGGTGCTCATTGCACTAGGTCAGCTGAGAGCCCTCATTCTTGAAACACTAAAAGGACTCTAACGAGCTAGGAAAACCCCTGGGTCAAGGGATTATCATTTTCAGAAGCGATTTCATTCCCCAGTGTTATTGATGCACGGAAAGGGCAAGGTAAAAACATCTCGGGAACATTCCTGTGCACTCCCACGCTTTATTCTCGTCATGCCCACTTTTCTCACTGAGCCACCTCACATTTTAAGTCTTTTGGGGCTGCATCCTCCCTGTCTCTCCCCAGGGAGCCTGGAACCATGCCCCAGCACACAAGAACTCTTTTTATAGGCATAGTCTACTGCCTTGTGTTACCCAAGTGTTTCTTTAAATATATTTTGTCTTGGTTAACTAGGTAGCATTTAGGACAGAGGTCAATTTGATGTAAATATCATACATCAAACTGGATTAAATAGCTAGATACGAAAATGAAAATCAGAGAGCTAAAGCAGAATTAAATTCTTATTTTAGTCCTGGAAGCACCGGCAACATAGTGAGACCCCTATCTCTACCTAAAATGGTAAGAAATCAACTAGCTGAGTGTGGTGGTACACACCTGTAGTCCCAGTTACTCAGGAGGCTGTGGCAGGAGGAGTTTGAGGCTGGAGTGAGCTATGATTGCACCACTGCACTCCAGCCTGGGCAACAGAGCAAGTCCTTATCTCAGATAAACACATAAAATAAAATAAAGTGGTGGAGCTAAGATAAGGAGATTTTATAAGGCTACATGTAATAGGAGAAATGGCCTTGATAAGATCTGATCTACATAAAAGGGCTAAATTGTTTTAGATGACAGTGTAGCCAGAAATGCAAAACAGATTGGATAAATACCCTGTGTATGAGAAAGGGTTAATATACAGCCCATGGAAAAGAAGAAAAATACTGAGACAACTTGCAAAGGTAAATTGCAGAAGTGACATGAAATGGTATTTCCCAGCAGAAGAAATAATTAAGAAAAATATATACAGGAAAAATACATATTAAAATAAGAATCCTTTTTAAATTAGCAACATAAAAAGTAGTAATATCAAAAGCTGGTGAGAGTGTGGTGAAATTAGTGCTCACTTGTTTCACTGGCTTCATTGTAAATTGGCACAAACTTGCTGGAAAGCAGTTTTACTGTCACTTTCAAGGCCAGAAAAAAGTCATTACTTCTTACTCAATTTCCCCACTAATAGAAAATTATTCTAGGATGATCATTGAAAATACTAGAGAGAAAAATACTATATGCACTAAACGTTCATGATAATATTTTAAGAGTGAAAAATGTAAGCAACATAAATGTCTAATTATAGTTGAATGGCTAAACAAAATACGCTATTGCCACAGGATAGAATGTTACGCATCTTTAAAATTACAAGCATGCAGGCTGGGTGCAGTGGCCCGCGCCTGTTTTAACAGCTCCTCTAGAGGCTGAAGTGGGAGGATCATTCAAGCCCAGGAGTTCAAGGCTGCAGTGAGCCATGATTACACCACTGCTCTCCAGCCTGAGCAACAGGGTGCTACCCTGTCTCAAAAAAAAAAAAAAAATACAAACATGCAGACAAATTTGCCACATGGAAGGTTTATTTGATCTGAAGTAAAGTGAGAAAAAATCAGGTTACAAAAAGTACATATATGACATGAACAGTATGTAAAAACGTATGCATGTGAGAAGAGACTGGAAGGAAACCTACAGTGATGGTAGCCTTTCTCTCATAACGGTGGCATTATAATTTCTGTACTTGTTGAAAAATTGTTTTTATTATGTTAGCATCTTAAAACATTTCATATGTATAAGTGATATAAATATATTTATCTGATCCCTTTCCCTGGCACTAAGCTCATTGGCCACATCAGAATGGCCAGCACTTCTCTGATCAAAGGGTTTGCTCTAATAACAGACATTTTCCTTGCTTTTGTGTAATGTTCTCTGGTTTATTTTACTCTCTTAAGTCAGGAGAAAGAAAAATCACAATGAAAAAAAGATAAACAAGAACAAGCATTTCAAATGTCTCCTTTTCTTCTTCTGCCTTTTATTTTTCTTTGTATTTTTTTTCCCTTGAACTGGGAAGGGAAATTATATGATTTGACAATTTCCTATTATTCCATAATTACCCTAGATTACGTCTTTGGGAGTGGGGAGGAGGTGCCAGAGGTTTGTAGCTCAGTGACCAAATCCTCTGGTGATTCACGTCACAAAAGACAGCTCTTCATAAAAATGCATTACTCCGGGCTGGGCACGGTGGCTCACGCCTGTAATCCCAGCACTTTTGGAGGACGAGGGGGCCAGATCACGAGGTCAAGAGATAGAGACCATCCTGGCCAACATGGTGAAACCCTGTCTCTACCAAAAATACAAAAAATTAGGCGTGGTGGCGCACGCCTGTGGTCCCAGCTCCGCGGGAGGCTGAGGCGGAAGAGTCACTTGAACTCGCTGGGCGGAGGTTGCCGTGAGCCGAGATTGCACCACTGCACTCCAGCCTCGTGACAGAGCAAGACTCCTTGTTTAAAAAAATTAAAAATGCATTACTCAAATGCTAGGAAACCCTACCACTAGTTCACCTTTGCTCTTCTCTTTTGGGGAAATTGGACTTTCAGTCATTGTACTGTCATTGCCCTTCCTCGGAAGGCGGTCCTGTGGGCTGCGGGTGGGACTGGCAAGCTAAAAGCAGAATCCGCGGTGTTTGCCAGAAGGCAGCCACCTTGCGTTGGGCCCTGTTCAAGGTACTGAGATACAGCAGCGGACAAAAAAACCATCCACACCTCCCGGAGCTCTCGGAGGAAAGTACACAATACACAAAACTTAGCGGTGTGTTACAGGATGGTACATTTAATGGCAGAATACAAAGCAGGAACAGGGACTAGATTCAGGGCGAGGAGCATTTTTAAATAGGGAGGTCAAGTCAGGCTTCTCTGAAGGAGGTGAGAGAGGGAGGTGGTCCAGGCTGCAGCAACAGCAAATGCAAAGTCCTGTGAAAGCCTGCCTCGCCACCCTGGAACCTGCAGAAGTTCTGTGGCTGGAGTGGAGTGAGGAACGGGTGGACGCCAAGAGATGAGGTCAAAAAGGCAGTAGGAGCCGGGTCATGCGGAGCTCCCTGGGCTACTTGCTTTTTTTTTTTTTTTTTTTTTTTTTTTTTTTTGAGACGGAGTTTCGCTCTTGTTACCCAGGCTGGAGTGCAATGGCGCGATCTCGGCTCACTGCAACCTCCGCCTCCTGGGTTCAGGCAATTCTCCTGCCTCAGCCTCCTGAGTAGCTGGGATTACAGGCACACACCACCATACCCAGCTAATTTTTTGTATTTTTAGTAGAGACGGGGTTTCACCATGTTGACCAGGATGGTCTCGATCGGCTACTTGCTTTTAACTGGGCATGAAATGGAAAACTCTGGAAGCCTTTGGGCTGAGGTATGACATGATCTGACTTGAGTTTTTACGGGATCGCTTTGGCTGCTGTGTTAAGAACAGACTGAGGGGTGAGGAAGAAACAGGAAGTGGCAGCAGTTGTCCAGGAGACCTGGGATAGGGGCTTGGAAGATGTTGGGAATGGG